AGTCTTTATCTTTCTTATTAGGAAGTCAAAAGACAAATCCTAAAATTGATCTAACAAGAAATAGCAGCATAAGCATATGACTTAAAAATGTGGTGGCAAAAAACAAAAAAGAAAAAAACACATGTTAAGGAATTAAAGAATGGATCTCAGAGGTAGAATAGGCTGGGGCAATGGACTCTTTTTCAATCTAAGCCTCATAGTACTTAAAAAATTTCTATGTATTACCTTGATCAAAAAAGGGTATTTCCCACAAGTCTAGGAATTCCCCTTCTTGTTCTACCTCAACATATTACTGCTCAACCATAGATGCATTCAATTAAGTGCATTCTGATAAGTATTTCAGGGTAGATACTTGGAATGGAAAATTTCTGAAAATTCTAGTGTTGTAGCCGATGTGTAAGCAAGTAAAAGTAGTTGCCATTTGCCTATCCGGTACCATTTCCCAATTTCTCTCTAGAAAAATATTAGTTTTTATCATATTAGTTATCCGTCACCATGTAACAAATGATCACAAAACTTAGTGGCTTAAAACAACAAACATTTATTATCTTCAGTTTTCGTAGGCAGTTACTTGCCCATCTGGTAGTGTTTCCCAATTTTCTCTGGAAAAACACTAGCTTCTATCGTGTTAGTTATCCATCACCACGTAACAAGTGATCACAAAACTTGGTGGCTTAAAACAGCAAACACTTGTTATCTTCAGTTTTCTGGGCCAGCAGCTCAGGAACAGCTGAACTGGGGTGCGTGACTCAGTCTCTCATGATGTTGCAATTTAGCCGAGCGCTCAGTCATCCGAAGGCTTGCCTAGGCCTGGAGGCGCTGCTTCCAAGATGGCTCCCTCACAGGGCTATTGGCAGAAGGTCTCAGTTCCTTGATGGCTGCTCCTTTCCATTAGAGTCTCTCCACAGATCTGCTGATGTGTCTTCTTGGTGTGACAGATGGCTTCCCTCAGAGGGAGTGATTCAAGTCAGAGTGAAGAGGAAGCCCGAGTGCCTTTTATGGCCTAGTCTCAGTGGCTATGTTCTGTCACTCTCACTTCATTCTATTTGTCCAAAACACGTTGCTAGGCCCAGGGGAGGGAAATTAGGCTCCACTTCTTGAAGTGGGAAGTATCAAAGCATTTGTGTACATATTTTAAAACCACAACACCTAGCAATGATACATTAGGTTAGGAGACTATCTGTAAATGATTTATTGAAGATCTAAATAGATCACATCACTGTTTGTTATGAAATCTCTTTTAATGATCCTTTCCTCAATAACTAACATGTGGCCTAACTTCTCACCTCACTTCTTCTCTGCGCTGCAATATTTTAAGTGCCTTGAGAACTGATGACATTTCTGAGTCTTTTTGTATCCCTGTTTATCACAGTGTCTAACATGTTCACAAATTTATTCAATAGTTTATATATGTGTGTGCGTGTGTATAGATGCTTTCAAATTGTGGTGCTGGAAAAGACTCTTGAGACTGCAAGGAGATCAAACCAGTCAATCCTAAGTGAAATCAACCCTGGATATTCACTGGAAGGACTTATGCTAAAGCTGAGGCTCCAATACTTTGGCCACCAGATGTGAGGACCTGACTCATTGGAAAAGACCATATGTTGGGAAAGATTGAAGGCAAAAGGAGAAGGGTGTGGCAGAGGATGAGATGGTTAGATAGCATCACCAACTCAATGGATATCAATCTGAGCAAACTCTGGGAGATAGTGGAAGACAAAGGATATACTGTTCATATACGTGTGTGTGTGTGTGTGTAAAACCATCTTCTGAGGATACAATAATAAACAAGAAATACTCATAGTTCTTGTTCTCTTAGAGTTTATAGTCTACTTGGGTAAAAGATACATTTAATTGCATTTAAACAGTTGAGCACACTTATGAATGTATAATTACCAATTAAGTTACATTTTCTGAGGGACAGGAATACAGTCTTAGAGATGTGTATAAAAAAGGAACAGGACTGTTCTGTTGTAGGCACAGAGAAAATAGATAGGAAGTTCAGCTGAAGTGAAATTTTGCCAGATAGGTGAACAAGACTCAAAGGAGTCTAAAATATTGGTGTATGTTGAACTAACACACCAGTACTTATAAATATTTATTGAATTGAATCAAACTGAGGTGCCTTTTTTTTCCTTTGCCTCTTCTTCTCTTCTTCACTTCTTGATGTCAGGGGTGAAATACTCTGGTATGGATAGACGAGTTTGACCAGAATAATTGCAACTAAGTGGGGGAAGGGACTAACCCTGCTCAATCCACCTTCCTTGCTTATTGTCTAACTGCAATTTCCAGTTATATTTGGAAAAAACAGAATAGAATATTCACACAATGTCCATAAGATTTTTTCCCAGTAAATTCAAAGACATCTTTTATATTTTCTAATATTTTAATTTCCTAACAAAATTTCTGGTAGTTAAATTTACTTAAATTTGAACTTCATATGCATACATAGGATATACCTATTTAAATTCAAACATCAGAGCCACTGGATGAGATGACAGCAAACAGAGTCAGGAATGTGACTGATTCTGTTGAAACAACTATATATTCTCCCCAGGAGTAATGCTGAGAAGAGGGACAGCAATGTGGACCTGTACCACAAAAATTGACGTCATTACTACTCTTAAATAATTTAAAATAACACTATTGAATACTTGGGGCTTCCTTGGTGGCTCAGTGGTAAAGATTCTGCCTGCTAGTGCAGGAGATGCAAGAGACTTGGGTTTGATCCCTGAGATTGGAAAAGCTCCTGGGGAAGGAAATGGAAACCCAGTCCAGTATTCTTTCCAGAGTAAGATACGCTTGAGCTTGCACACATGTATTAATAGCTTAGAGACACACTATGTTGTTTAATATTCATGATATCCCTATGAGATAGGTAAAACATTATACTCATTTTACAGAGATTTTTGAAAGATTAATTTGTCCAAAATCACAGAAATCTTAAAGACAGTCCTATCAGGTTTCACATTCCTTAAACAGTCTACTTCAGCATCTTTATCTTGTGCCCCTCATCTCTGCAACCCATCCCTTCTGGTCTCATTGGCCTTCTCTCTGTTCCAAGAAATGAGCCAAGCCCCTTTCACCTTTAGGGCTTCCCTGACAGCTCAGTTGGTGAGGAATCCACCTGCAATGTGGGAGACCTGGGTTCCAACCTTGGGTTTGGAAGATCCCCTGGAAAAGGAAAAGGCTATCCACTCCAGTATTCTGGCCTGGAGAATTCCATGGGCTGTGTAGTCCATGGGGTCGCAAAGAGTCGGACACGACTGAGCAACTTTCACTTTCACTTTCCTTTTACCTTCAGATCTTTGCATTAGCTGTTTCCTCTGTTTGGAAGGTTTTTCACAAGTTTCTTGCATGGTAGGCTCCTTGTCTCAGATATCTGTCCTAAATTAGTTCTCTTCATCTAACTCTGTAACATTGCACTGTTTTATTTACATTAGGTACAGCGTCTATTGACTATGCCAAAGCCTTTGACTATGTGGATCACAATAAACTGTGGAAAATTCTGAAAGAGATGGGAATACCAAACCACCTGACCTGCCTCTAGAGAAACCTGTATGCAGGTCAGGAAGCAACAGTTAGAACTGGACATGGAACAACAGACTGGTTCCAAATAGGAAAAGGAGTATGTCAAGGCTGTATATTGTCATCCTGCTTATTTAACTTATATTCAGAGTACATCATGAGAAACGCTGGGCTGGATGAAGCACAAGCTGGAATCAAGATTGCCGGGAGAAAAATCAATAACCTCAGATATGAAGATAACACCACCCTTATGGCAGAAAGTGAAGAAGAACTAAAGAGCCTCTTGATGAAAGTGAAAGAGGAGAGTGAAAAAGTTGGCTTAAGCTCAACATTCAGAAAACTAAGATCATGGCACCTGGTGCCATCACTTCATGGGAAGTAGATGGGGACACAGTGGAGACAGTGGCTGACTTTATTTTTGGGGCTCCAAAATCACTGCTGATGGTGACTGCAGCCATTAAATTAAAAGACACTTACTCCCTGGAAGGAAAGTTATGATCAACCTAGATAGCATATTAAAAAGCAGAGACAATACTTTGCCAACAGAGGTCTGTCTAGTCAAGGTTATGGTTTTTCCAGTGGTCATGTATGGATGTGAGAGTTGAACTATAAAGAAAGCTGAGCAGGGAAGAATTGATGCTCTTGAACTGTGGTGTTGTAGAGGACTCTTTAGAGTCCCTTGGACTGCAAGGAGATCCAACCAGTCCATCCTAAAGGAGATCAGTCCTGTGTGTTCATTGGAAGGAGTAATGTTGAAGCTGAAACTCCAGTACTTTGGCCACTTGATGCAAAGAGCTGACTCATTGGAAAAGATCCTGATGCTGGGAAAGATTGAGGGCAGGAGGAGAAGAGGATGACAGAGGAAGAGATGGTTGGTTGGCATCACCAACTCAATGGACATGGGTTTGGGTGGACTCCGGGAGTTGGTGATGGACAGGAAGGCCTGGCGTGCTGCAGTTCATGGGGTTGCAGAGTCGGACACGACTGAGCTACTGAACTGAACAGCATTTATTACACTTTGAAATCTTTTTTTTTTTATCTTCCCGCCAGAGCAAATCCTTAGGACTTCATTCACTGAGTGAAGAAATAAATCAATAGCTAACTCCTTCTGTACCTGGAGATACTGGATAGTATTTTGTTATACCAGTAAGCTATCTGCGTTACATCGATAAGCCATTAACGCTACTTAGAGAAATATGTATATTCTCTATTTTATTCTCATATTAGTTTATTACGAAGTCTTTAGTGGTTCCAGGACAGCAGGTCTTAAAAACACCAAGGCTTCTCAGGGGACAGCGCCCTGCTCTACCCAGGCCGACCAGCAGGGGACGGTGTAGGTGAAGGTCTCCTTCCGCAGGCTCCGGCGCCCTAGGCGCAGAAATTGGAGAAGTGGAGTGCAGAGGAGGACCCAACCGGAAGGGGCGGGGTCACCTGCGAACCTGCCTTTCCAGGGAGGCTCTCCTCCCTCGCCCCGCCCCTTCCCCCGCCCGGGCGGCCATGGCCATTCCCGGCATCCCCTATGAGCGACGGCTTCTCATCATGGCGGACCCTAGAGATAAGGCGCTTCAGGACTACCGCAAGAAACTGCTGGAGCACAAAGAGATTGACGGTCGTCTCAAGGAGTGTGAGTGCACCTTTCTTTCCACATAATGTCGTACTTGGACCCGCTTCTGTCTCTGACAAAGCGGAGGCCTTTTGCCGAGTTCAGCAACCGAGTCCCGGGGATGAGAAGGCCTCAGTCCAGGGACAAGGCGCTTTGTCATTCCGCCCAGAACTTGGGAAGCCGAGCCTTTTCGGGCGTGGAAATGGTCTAGTCTGTTCCAGGTGACAGACAGACATCCGCAGTTCTGAGATGAACGTGGAAAATGACCCGAGAAAGAGTGGGGAAGGAGTTGGTCAGAGATGTTTCCCAGGTTGAGGTGCAAGGAGTGCAGTGTTGGTGGAGCCCCGGGACCCGGAGCGGGGAAAAGACTTGAGTCGGAGAAGCTAAAGCAAGAGATGAGATTCTGGGGGGGGGGGGGGTTGGCTTGTTAGTGGAGTGGAAAGCCGAACATGGGGTTTAAGGGATAAGGCGTATCTGTCAGTAATAGCCCTCTTCGACTTTACTCGTGTTTTTGAATTGTCTTGCATTAAGTACACACGTTTCCCTTACGTCCTGAACTAAATAAAAGAGTTTTGTATTTTTTCTTAATGCACCGTCACAGACGTAATGAATGAAAACCTTAACCATAATTCTGTGGAGCTTTATTTAGGTTAAAAAGCCAGAGGATAACAGTCCATGTACATAGATGAAGTGAGGAGGGTCTAACTCTTATTATTCGGATTTGTAATCTCAGATCCGAAAATGTCAGAAGGTCTGTATCTGTTAAGAATGTTACCTAAAATGTGCTCAAAGAAGTAAGTATTGCCGATCAAGAAAATAAAAATACGTGCTTTCTCTGTAATGTTTCGTTTTGAAACATGTCATCTACAAAGAGCATTGTTACTTTTGTGTGGTTTGATACAGTGAGTATAAAATAAATGTAAAGTGAAACAGACAAAAATTAAGATTTGGTGGCTTAAACTCGCAAAGATTACTTAATTTAAAAAATGTTCAAATTATGTTATTTCAGTAAGGGAACAGTTAAAAGAACTTACCAAGCAGTATGAAAAATCTGAAAATGATCTGAAGGCTCTACAAAGTGTTGGGCAGGTAGGTAATGGAGTTTGGGATGTAGAGGGTGGTGATGGTTTATTTTTTTAGCTCTTGGCAAAAAATCATGCTCTCTTTTTTCTTTATTAGATTGTGGGTGAAGTACTTAAGCAGTTAACTGAAGAAAAATGTAAGTGTATTAGATTGTTACTAAAGAGAAAAAGAGCAGGCTTACCTCCTTTCTGTCACGATCTTTGCTTATTGCTTAAATGATTATAATGAAGGTAGATGATATTCTTGCATAGACCGAGTTTTCTTTCAACTCTTGTCCTTTGGAGAACAGAAATAAAACTCAGCCTGCCATCAGTGTGGATATATTTAGTTTTACTTTCTGTGTTACAATTTGTTTTTTCATTTCTGTTTTCCCCTTTAGTCATTGTTAAAGCTACAAATGGACCGAGATATGTTGTGGGTTGTCGTCGACAGGTAACATTTTATATTTGTATAGTACTTTATAATTGACAAAAGTGCTTTCAAGTAAGTAATTTTCCAGGTGGGCAAGTTAGAAATTATGCCCATAACTCCCAAAGGTAACTCGTTCAGATATAGCTAATTATTAGCAAAGCCTAAACTCAGACCATGGATTTGACTCCTGGTGAACTGAACTGAGAGCTCAGTTGTGTCCCACTGTTTGCGACCCCATGGACTATACAGTCTGTATAATTCTCCAGGCCAGAATACTGGAGTGGGTAGCCTTTCCCCTTCTCCAGGGGATCTTCCCAACCCAGGGATCGAACCTAGGTCTTCTGCATTGCAAGTGGATTCTTACCAGCTGAGCCATCCTGGTAGTCTACTTTTCTAATTGATTGCATTAGCTCAGTCAACTCTACACAGAGAGAAATCAAAGAATCTTAGAACTGAAAAATAACTGATCATTTTATTTTAATGTCTCTTTTTGAAGAAGACTTAAAAGTATTAAACCTTATAAATTACACTTTAGACATTCAGAAATATTACTTATCAACTTTACTATAGGTTAAATTGATTTTGTATGAATTGGTTTAGATTAGAATAAGCAAATTGAAGTAACTGCAAGTTTTATTTTGCAGTCAAAAACTGACAAATAGATTTGAATTATTTAGTAACCACGGAAGGCAATTTATGTACTGCTCTATTCTTTCGGAAATGTCTTTAGCAAATTTTTAAAAACTCATTGGAAGAGCTTTCTCTGAGTATTTGTTATATCAGATTCGGGTTTTAAAACATTGATCCGACATGGCTATAGAATGGAATTTTACCCAGGGACTAAGTTCAGTCTTAAGATTTTGCTTACATATAAGTGGGATGATATTTTCTAAATCAAAATTTTAGCTGCCTAATCCCACAAAGGATATTTATGTCCCTTTCAGGACCCTTTGGATGCCAGAAGTAGACATTTAAAGATATTTCATGATTGTATGAGGGCAATAGAGCATTTGAAAGCTGAAAAATATTAGAAAGGCCAGAATATATGTTGTCTATAGATACAAATGAAATAACTTCTTATTGATCCCTGTTTAAGCTCTTGTTTCAAGTACAATAGTCCCTCATCTGTGGGGGATATGTTCCAAGATTACCAGTGGATGCCTGAAACCTAGGCATATACCAAACCTATATGTGCTATATTTTTTACTATACATACATACTTATTATGATAAAGTTTCCATTTATAAATAAGGGAGGGGAAACTATTGTATCTGGGAAATATTTTAGTTTAATCCATTATATTAAACCTAGTATTTAGCTTGCTTCCACTTCAACTTGCTATATCTTGTCTAACTCTTTGCAACTCCATGGACTGTTGCCCTCCAGGCTCCTCTGCCCATGAAATGGAGAACACTGGAGTGCAGTGCCATTTTTTCCTCCAGGGGATCTTCTGACCCAGGGATTGAATCCATGTCTCCTGCATTTGTCGTCTGCATTGGCAGGCAGATTCTTTACCACTGAACCACCAGGGAAGCCTCCCACTTCATTTTAACTGGCACTAAATCCTAATCCAAGCACTCTGCAAAATTCTTTGAAAAGGGTTCAGTAATTTGTGTGATTCTGAAATTGTATTAACAAGCAGTTTTCTAAACTATTGAAAAGTAACTTTTTTTTTGAGAAACAGCCTGAGCCTGATTTGAATCTCTTTGGATAGATTCTATCCAATTCTACCCAAATAAGTTACACTGCCTAAATAGGCCAATAAATTATTTAGTATGATTCAACTTAACATGAAATATGTTTATCATAGTGTCTGTCATGTAGCAAAGGCATGAATGAAGGTTACTGGGATTTTTTTTTTTTATCCTTTAGAATTTTAATAAAAAAAAATCTCTAGAGGGAAACTGCATTTCTCCCTTATCTACTGTGATCATGGAGTATATTCTTCTCAAAACCATAGTTTTTATTTATTTATTTATTGTAGTGGTTTTTGCCATACTTTGACATGAATCAGCCATGGATTTACGTGTGTTCCCCATCCCAATCCCCCCTCCAGCCTCCCTCCCCATCCCATCCCTCAGTCTTCCCAGTGCACCGGCCCTGAGCACTTGTCTCATGCATCCAACCTGGGCTGGTGATGTTTCACCCTTGATAGTATACTTATTTCAGTGCTGTTCTCTCTGAACATCCCTCCCTCGCCTTCTCCCACAGAGTCTAAAAGTCTGTTCTGTACATCTGTGTCTCTTTTTCTGTTTTGCATATAGGGTTATCCTTACCATCTTTTTAAATTCCATATATATATGTGTTAGTATACTGTATTGATCTTTATTTTTCTGGCTTACTTCACTCTGTATAATGGGCTCCAGTTTCATCTATCTCATTAGAATTGATTCAAATTAATTCCTTTTAATGGCTGAGTAATATTCCATAGTGTATATGTACCACATCTTCCTTAAAAAATATGGAACGCTTCACGAATTTGCGTGTCATCCTTGCGCAGGGGCCACGCTAATCTTTATATCGTTCCAATTTTAGTATATGTGCTGCCGAAGCGAGCACAAACCATAGTTTTTAAAACAGATTTAATGGACGTACTTGTAAGATGGTTTCCTTTCTTTCTTCACAAATGTTCACTAAGGGATTTCTATATATATATTTTGGTACCAGCTTCCAAAGTCACTGTACTACAGTGCCAAAATCAAAATGATGAGCAAAACTATTAAATAGTGAGCCTTTGAAAGTAAAATATTGCAGTCAGTTCCTGCTTCAAAAACAAAGTCGTTGCCTCCTCAAACTTGTGTATTAGGGGTTTCACATTTCACACTGAGGTTGCACAAAAGGGCACTTTTTTAAGGGGCAGAGGGAGATAATTTTGAATTACTGTGTGTTGTTTATAATCTAATATTAGTGTTCTCTCTGAAGGGTAAAATGATTATTTGGCTTCTAACTATGCTCTTGTAGACTGTTATTCCCTCTTTCAAATGTTTATGTAACACTTTCTGTTTTATAAAATTAGCTTGACAAAAGTAAGCTGAAGCCAGGAACAAGAGTTGCTTTGGATATGACTACACTAACTATCATGAGGTAGGTTTCTTGTGCTATTTAGTTAACCTTTTATTGTCATAGAGGGAAGGTTTTATCCAAAACAGATGCTTCCTGAGATCACTGAATATTTTGCCATTTTTCTGGTTTTACTAATTTCAGATTAATTTAAACATGATTTTATAAGATCTCCTACAGGTTCTTGTATAAGCAAGTCGTGTATACTCTTTGTAGGCTGAGACAAAATACATCTTTTAAAAGAAAAGTATACACTTTATCATTACAGATATTTGCCAAGAGAAGTGGATCCATTGGTTTACAACATGTCCCATGAGGACCCTGGGAATGTTTCTTATTCTGAGATTGGAGGGCTCTCAGAACAGATTCGGGAATTAAGAGAGGTTGGTAGTGTATGCTTTGTTCTCTGAACTTAACCAAGAAATAGTACTGGTTTTAAAATACATGAAGGCCAGCGTCTGTGGTGTCTGGGTCCCTGGAGCCTGGACTGCCGACTGGGGAGGCTGAGAGGCAGATGGCAGCGCTCCCAGCTCCCCTCCCTGCCCCACCTCTGTCCTAGGGGCCAGGCTTTACCTGTGTGGTGGTGGGTAGGCTGTCTGTTAAGATGTGTCATGTACATTTGTATCAAAACTAAATAAGTGACCATGAAAAAAAAATGCCTGAAGGAAGAGAGAGGATGTAAAATTACTTTGTCCAAATAATGTTTACTGAATATTATATAAATAGTATTTTTGCTGAGAGAAAAATAGCTCTGAAGCTCTAGCTATAAAAATTACAGGTTTTTGTAATTTGGAGATAATTTGGTGTTAGAAAAATCTTGCTCTTTTTTTGTGACAGAAGGGGGGAAAAACTAAGAATAATTGATATATACTGAATATATTAAATAATGGATATAATCCAATGCTCATGCCATCTGTTACTTTAATTATCTCATAATTTACTTGGGTTGGAGCACATTTGGATAGTGTGTGAAATGTAGTTTTTCCTACAACCTCGTTATACTATTACCCTTATAATGGAGAAGGCAATGGCACCCCACTCTTGCCTGGAAAATCCCATGGACAGAGGAGCGTGGTAGGCTACAGTCCATGGGGTCCCACAGAGTCGGACACGACTGAGTGACTTCAAGTCAAGTTATAATAGAGTAAGTTATCTGTGCCTTACACATTTTATTTTGTTAAAACTGTTTACTGTCATTTAAGAGAAGTACTGGTTCTGGGTGGCATAAATGGTGTGCTGCAGTCCGTGGGGTCACAGAGTGGGGCACAGCTTAGCTACTGAACAATAGAAGCAATTACGTTCCTAGGTGAAGAATCAAATCAGGATTGCCTTGCTTCACAGCACAGATAGCTTCTTAACAATTCTCTTTTAAGCAGATTACATTGTCCTATTGATTTCATCCTAATTTAGGATGGAAATAGGAATGAATTTGGTTAGTTAGAAAAGCTTACATTATCTGATTTCAGCACTTTAAATTTTCTGGAACTCTTATTAAAGGTGCAGATTCTTAGGCTCTCTGCATGGTTTTGATGTAATGGATTAGGAGTAGAATCCATAGGAATTGGCATTTAAACAAGCATTCTGGGGGACTTGCGTTGCTGTCCAGTGGTTAAGACTCTTTATTCCCTGTGCTGGGACCCTGGGTTCCAGGCCTGGTTGGGAAACAAAGATACCATGTGCCTCATGGTGTGGCCTAAAAAACAAAAATAAGCAAGCATTACAGATGATTATGAAACCAAGCTTTTTTATTTTTTTTTAACCATACTTGAGGAAGCACTGGCTTCCTCATAAATAAGCACATAAATAAAAGCCTTTTATTTTCACTTAGTAGTTAATGAAAGGGCAGAGACAGAACTGGTGCTTCATGAAACAGTGAAATCTTTTACAATGGTTTGCTGCATCAGCCATAGGAGCAGAATCTCCCTCTCTCTCTTTTTCTCTGTCTCTCACACACACACCCCCACCATGGACATGCAGTCCCTTTTTGATTGGCAGACAGTTGAGAATATTAATTACACACACATACCATGGACATGGGCAGACAGTTGAGAATAAATTACACACACACACCATGGACATCTGCAGACAGTTGTGAATATTAATTACACACACACACACACACCCACCATGAACATGCAGTCCCCTTTTCCATCTGCAGACAGTTGAGAATATTAATTACACACATATACCATGGACATAGGCAGACAGTTGAGAATAAATTACACACACACACACACCATGGACAACTGCAGACAGTTGAGAATATTAAACATACACACCATGAACAAGCAGTCCCCTTTTCCATCTGCAGACAGTTGAGAATATTAATTGCCCACAATTTTGGTATGTCTTAATCATACCTTATGTGCACAACTATTCAATAAAAGTTTTTCTCTCAAGTTACTGGTAAACAGTGGCAGACTTCATTTTTTTAGGCTCCAAAATCACTGCAGATGGTCACTGCAGCCATGAAATTAAAAGACGTTTGCTCCTTGAAAGAAAAGCTATGACCAACCTAAACTGCCTATTAAAAAGCAGAGACATTATTTTACCAACAAAGGTCTGTCTGTTCAAAGCTATGGTTTTTCCAGTAGTCATGTATGGATGTGAGAGTTAGACTATAAAGAAAGCTGAGTGCTGAAGAATTGATGCTTTTGAAGTGTGGTGTTGGAGAAGACTCTTGAGAGTTCCGTGGACTGCAAGGAGATCCAACCAGTCCATCCTAAAGGAGATCAGTCCTGAATATTCATTGGAAGGACTGAAGCTGAAGCTGACACTCGAATACTTTAGCCACCTAATGTGAAGAACCGACTCATTGGAAAAGACCCTGGTGCTGGGAAAGATTGAAAGTGGGAGGAGAAGGGGATGACAGAGGATGAGATGATTGGATGGCATCAACAATGCAATGGACTTGAGTTTGAGCAAGCTACAGGAGTTGGTGATGGACAGGGAGGCCTGGCATGCTGCAGTCCATGGGGTCGCAGAAAGTTGGACACAGCTGAGCAACTGAACTGAACTAGAACATTAAGAACAGAATTTATGGTTTTGTTAAGACTACTATGACAAAATGCCAACCTAAGAAGATTTTAAATAACATTTAGTGGAAATTTTATAATAATTTTTGTTGTATTCAAATGCAAAATAGTGTGGATCTTTTTGGGTTTTTTTTGCTTAACTGATTTTTTTGTAGTATAATTTTTTTGTTGATGCATAATTTATATTCAGTGAAATTTTAAATGTACAAGTTTTTAAATGTACAGTACAAGTATGTTTTGACAGGTTGTATGCCTGTGCAGCCATCACTCCCGCCAAGTGTGTGGTTATTTTAACAAGTGTGTTAAATAAGTAGTACAAATTACCATGTTTTTTAAAAAAATGAGTATTTTTATGTATTTATTTGACTGTCCTCATCTTAATTGTAGCATGCAGGATCTAGTTCCCCAGCCCAGTCTTCTGCATTGAGAGTGTGGAGTCTTAGGCACTGGACCACCAGGGAAGTTCCGCCACATGCTTTTTAATTAATTTTTAAAATATTTAAGCTCTTTAGATTTAAGAGATATCTTACATCTGCCTGAAAAAAGACCTCTAATATAAATGGTTTTACATAGCACCGAATTCTGGATCTATTATGAATTATGCGTGTACGTAACAGCTCATACTGTACTTAAAATATTTGAAAGTACATTAAAATGTTAACTGTTTAAGAAACCTGCAACTTCTTTTCTAGGTAATAGAATTACCTCTTACAAACCCAGAATTATTCCAGCGTGTGGGAATAATACCTCCAAAAGGCTGTTTGTTATATGGACCACCAGGTTGGTATTAAGCTATGTCTATCTCAGTATGAATGAATGAATAAAACAATAAGATGGAAATATTTAATGTCACCATTTCAGCCTTCATTCTGTTCAGAGTAAGGAGGCAACTGGAGATGTGTGTCTAAAATTTTCTTAGGCTTGCTTAGTCTTATGTTTCATAAGTATATATCTTAACATGCTCTGTGACTCTAGCCAGTTGTCCCGTGTGGTTCACAGACCTCTGGGTATCCCAGAGATACTTTCAGGGCATCTGCCAGGTCAGAATTTACTCTTGTAATACTAAGATGTCAACACATTAAAAAAGGCAGCTAACATCTGTGCTGATGGTGCAAGGCTGCTCATGATGTAGTATGAATCAATTAAGTCAATGGCACAAAATATTACAATAGTCACCGTCTTTGTGGCCACTCAACATGTTCAGTATGAAAAGAGGCCAGTTTCACTTTAAAATGTCCTTGATAAACTTGTAAAAATATGAACTTTTGATCTTCGAATAATGTCTTGTATTTTGTGAGGAAATGGAAAATACTTTAAAATACTTCTGTTGCATTCTTAATATGGTAGATATCTCCAAGAAAACCATTTGTGCAGTTATTCAGTTGTCTGCTAAATTCGCTGCTTTTCACAGAGTACCATTTTACTTGAAAGGAAAATTTACAATTAATTATCAGACTGGTTATTGGTAACCTTGCACATATTTTTTAAAAAATGAATGAAGTTAGCCAATCATGTTAAACAACTGACTCCATCTGTAACCGTTGATAAAATTGGAACTTTCGCACGAAAATTTGAGTTTTTGAAAACTTTATATCTGGTACTGTGAGCTTGACAGCTTTCCAATGTGTTAATACAGGACAGGGTGAGATTGGTGATGATATTAGCAAATGTGATTTTAAAAATATTGTATATTGGAAAATGCCAGTGTTTAGCAAGATTTTAATAATCCACTGAATCAATAGTTCCAAATAGCCAATACTTAATGTTACTGTATCATACCTAAATGTCATATGTAAATATCATAAGTAAAGATTCACTCAGTGTGTAGTATAGACCAATGGATTTTAATGTGCAAGTTTCCATCATAGGCTGTTAGTAAGTAGGGTTTGGTATATTTCTAGAGTTATGTATTTGGTTGCCTTAAAATAAAATTAGGATGTTTTGAATAAAATGGAAATTCTGTTCAGGACGTAGCCTCCTTTTGCAGACTTTACTATTCAAAGGATTACATTCTTAAAAGCTTTTGAAAATTTATCTTACTTTCCCTCAGATTTATATCGCTTTTCAAAAATTACTTCTTTTTTCATTGCTAGGTACAGGAAAAACACTCCTGGCACGAGCTGTGGCTAGCCAGCTGGATTGCAATTTCTTAAAGGTAAAGGGAAGATTCTTTGTGTAGTTGTTGAAATTAAATTTGAATTGTCTTATATTTATCTTAATGTTTTTCCTTTAATCAGGTTGTATCTAGTTCTATAGTAGACAAGTACATTGGTGAAAGTGCTCGTTTGATCAGAGAAATGTTTAATTATGCCAGGGACCATCAGCCATGCATCATTTTTATGGATGAAATAGATGCTATTGGTAAGAATAACACTTTTTAAAATTTATTTTAAACTTTTCTTGAAAGTGTTAGGAAAATTTTTTAAATTTAAAACTTTTCCATCTCTTTTTCACCTCTAATTGCAACTTCTGTGAAGTAGCAAGATGAATTGAATGTTATTTTTTTAATTCTTAAAGTTTAACCAATCTTAATAAATAAACTTTAACATTGAGAAAATGAGAAACATAACCAAAATCAATTCTAATTTTATCAGTATAATTTTTGTTAATTACTTTTCATCTTAACTAGAACTAACATTTTCATATTGTTTTCTTAAATGATGCTTAAAGAGGAAGAGTAACACATAAATTTCCATATCATTATTTTAGGTGGTCGTCGGTTTTCTGAGGGTACTTCAGCCGATAGAGAGATTCAGAGAACTTTAATGGAGGTAATATTTGGTAAAAGTGGTTTAAAAGAAAATCAGTATTTATAAAATGAATAAGTATACATTGGATATTTGAAAGTCAAAATATGTTTAATGGTTTAAATGAAGAATGCACTTATGTATGAAATTTGAAAATATTGACAGGAATGAGCACTTTTCTCTGGCACAGTCTCTAGTAAGAAAATGAGTCCTAGAAAACAATAGGGATAGCCACAGATTTTCATTTGATTTACTGCTCTACTGTTCTGTATTTTGAGCAGACTGACCATTTAAATATTTAAATTGTATATTCTACTTGTGTTGTGAATGTGACTTGTATTAGTTTTATTAAGATATTTTACAAGTGACAAACATATTAAAACTGGTAACAATAAAGAAGTTGTGATTATGTATTAGGCTATTCTGAAAATTACTAATACTTTCCTCTATTGTTGACAACAGAAGAAAGCTAAAATTGTTTTGATTATTGAAGATGGATGCTGGGATATTGAAATGTATCTTAAAGCTTTTTCACACTCTAAGTTCTGTGAAAGTGATGGCAAGATTTTAAACATTTTCCAACTTCTATAAATAGATAGGTAGCATAGGTATCACATTGTCAGTTTCTGTCTCAGTGGGGGTATTTGAAAACTGTTTTTTATAAATTTTTCTGGTCTGCTCAGAAAATACACAGTATTTCAAAATTAGTTGTAGAGTCTTTTAGAAGGCTTAAATTGAATTATTTTTAAAGCCACACATGCTAGTTTTATTGATGTAGCTGATATGTTATTTAGCTAACATTTTGGGAATGTTAGACATGTTGACATAAAGAAATAGACATATTGTTAGATTAGCTTTGTTTAAAGATGTTATTGAATGCAGTTAGATTTTCCAGCATTTACTCAAGAAAGCTTTAGAAATTGAAGGAAATATGTTAGGTGTCTAAGTATTTCTATGTATAATAGAATTATTTGAAAAGATATTTAATGGATTTGTTATCAGATTTGTAGAAAATCATTGTGTCTGGTTATGTTAATGTAAATTTTATATCTGACATACCATAAGCACTTGAAATGTTAGTTATTATTTTTATTTTAAAACTACTTCTATCAAAAAATTTGAACATTGGAATCAGATCCACGTAGTTTAGTTTCATAAGTTTTGATTAGATGGATGCCTTCAGATTTATTAGACATAGTCTAATAGAAAGTAGAAAGGTATATATATGTAGAAAGGTATATAGTTAAAAAATCTATCTTGGAACTTTTAGCATGAAAAATATATCCCTTTATGTAAGAAAAAAATATTCCATCAAATGATCATTCTGCACATCATATATCTATCTGTAAGCAATACATTTCATGGCTTTAGGCATATAAAAGTTTTGTCTGAGTTTTTTAATGGTTGGGCTATTTTATAAAATGTACCTTTGATTTATATTCACAAATACATTCTTAGCTACTGAATCAAATGGATGGATTTGATACTCTGCATAGAGTTAAAATGATCATGGCTACCAACAGACCAGATACACTGGATCCCGCTCTGCTTCGACCAGGCAGATTAGATAGAAAAATACGTGAGTTAAATTTCTTCGCCTGCTGTCCATTTCTCTTGGTCTATGTCTATTTCTCTATCCCAAACCTCCTCCTCGTGCCCTACTCTATTTAACAAAGAAAAAACCTGACTGTAATAGAATTTTTTATAATTTTCTTATTTTCAGATATTGATTTACCAAACGAACAAGCAAGGTTAGATATATTGAAAATCCATGCAGGTCCCATTACAAAGCATGGTGAAATAGGTAAGGAAATAGCTTATTTTTTATATATTCACATTTGGTAACCGTGAAGCAAAATACTACTCGATATTACTGATAGTCTACCAAATTGAGTTTTAAATTCAGGAAACATGGTGTTCTTGAATTCACCTAATAGTTATTGAGCATCAGCTATATGCTGAATTGTTCTTAGTGCCTAGGATATAGCAATGAACAAAACAGACAAGTTTCTGCCTTCATGTAACTTGTTAGGAGAGACAGGTGAAGTGAGTAAAATATTCAGTTGACTCTTGAGCAACACGGGATTGAACTGTGTGTATCGGCTTATATGGGGATCTTTTTCTTTAGTAAATGCTGTAGTACTACCTGACTGACTTTGGTTGAATACACAGATGCAGAATCATGGATATGGAAGGCTGACTATAAGTTATGCACAGATTTTCGATTACTCAAGAGAGCTGATGCCTATACCTTTTGTGTTCTTCAGAGTCAACAGTCTAGTAAGTTCAGTCGATCAGTCATGTCTGACTCTTTGCGAGCCCGTGGACTGTAGCACGCCAGGCTTCCTTGTCTTATCACGAACTCCCGTAGCTTACTCAAATTCATATCCATCAAGTCTGTGAAGCCATCTAACCATCTCATCCTCTGTTGTCCCCTTCTCCTTCTGCCTTCATTTTTGCCAGCATCAGGGTCTTTTCTAGTGAGTCAGTTCTTCTCATCAGGTGGCCAAAGTATTTGAGTGTCAGCTTTAGCTTCAGTCCTTCCAGTGAATATTCAGGACTGATTTCCTTTAGGATGGACTGGTTGAATCTCCTTGCAGTCCAAGGAACTCTCAAGAGTCTTCTCCAACACCACAGTTCAAAAGCATCAATTCTTTGGCACTCAGCTTTTTTTATAGACCAGCTCTCACATCCATACATGACTACTGGAAAAACCATAGCTTTGAACAGACCTTTCTTGGTAAAGTAATGTCTCTGCTTTTTAATAGGCAGTTTAGGTTGGTCATAGCTTTTCTTTCAAGGAGCAAGCGTCTTAATTTCATGGCTGCAGTCACCATCTACAGTGATTTTGTAGCCCCCAAAAATAAAATCTCTGTTTCCACATCCATTTGCCATGAAGTGATGGGACCAGATGCCATAATTTTAGTGTTTTGAATGTTGAGTTTTAAGCCAACTTTTTCACTCTCCTTTTTCACTTTCATCAAGAGGCTCTTTAGTTTTTCTTCACTTTCTGCCATAAGAGTGGTGCCATCTGCATATCTAAGGTTATTGATATTTCTCCCGGCAATCTTGATTCCAGCTTGTGCTTCATCGAGCCTGGCATTTCGCCTGATGCACTCTGCATACAAGTTAAATAAGCAGGGTGACAATATACAGCCTTGATGTATTCCTTTCCTGATTTGGAAGCAGTCTGTTGTTCCATTTCTCAGGAGGCAGGTCAGGTGGTCTGGTATTCTTGTCTCTTGAAGAATTTTGCACAGTTTGTTGTAATTCACAGAGTCAAAGGCTTTGGCATAGCCAATAAAGCAGAAATAGATGTCTGTTTGGAACTTTCTTGCTTTCTCGATGATCCAACGGATGTTAGCAGTTTGATCTCTGGTTCCTCTAACTTTCCTAAATCCAGCTTGAACATCTGGAAGTTCTCGGGTCACGTACTGTTGAAGCCTGGCTTGGTGAATTTTGAGCATTATTTTGCTAGTGTGTGAGATGAGTGCAGTTGTGCGGTAGTTTGAACATTCTTTGGCATTGCCCTTCTTTGGGATTGTAATGAAAACTGAACTTTTCCAGTCCTGTGGTCACTGCTGCGTTTTCCAGATTTGCTGGCATATTGAATGCATCACTTTCACAGCATCATCTTTTAGGATTTGAAATAGCTCAACTGGAATTCCATCACCTCCACTAGCTTTGTTCTTAGTGACGCTTTCTAAGGCCCTTTTAACTTCCTTTTTAGGATGTCTGACTTTAGGTGAGTGAGCACACCATCGTGGTTATCTGGGTCATGAAGGTCTTTTTTGTTTAGTTCTGTGTATTCTTGCTTCCTCTTCTTAGTATCTTCTGCTTCTGTTAGGTCCATACCATTTCTGTCCTTTATTGTGCTCATCTTTGCATGAAAATGTTCCCTTGGTATCTAATTTTCTTGAAGAGGTCACTGTCTTTCCTATTCTATTGTCTTCCTCTATTTCTTTGCATTGATCACTGAGGAAGGCTTTCTTATCGCCTTGTTTTTCTTTGGGACTCTGCATTCAAATGGGTGTATCTTTCCTTTTCTCCTTTGCCTTTAGCTTTTCTTCTTTTCTCAGCTATTTGTAAGGCCTCCTGAGACAACCATTTTGCCTTTTTGCATTTCTTTTTCTTAGGGATGGTCTTGATCACTGCCTGCTATACAATGTCATGAACCTCTGTCCATAGTTCTTCAGGCACTCTGTCTATCGGATATAATCCCTTGAATCTGTTTGTCAGTTTCACTTTATAATGTAAGGGATTTGATTTAGGCCATACCTGAATGGTCTGGTGTTTTTCTCTACCTTCTTCAATTTAAGTCTGAATTTGGCAGTAAAGAGGTCATGACCTGGGTCACGGTCAGCTCCGGGTCTTGTTTTTGCTGACTGTATAGAGCTTCTCCATCTTTCGCTGCAAAGGATATAATCAATCTGATTTCAGTATTGACCCTCTGGTGTTGTCCATGTGTAGAGTCTTCTCTTGTGTTGTTGGAAGAGGGTGTTTTCTAAGACCAATGTTTTCTCTTGGCAAAACTCTGTTAGCCTTTGCCCTGTTGCATTTTGTAATCCAAGGCCAAATTTGCCTTTTATTCCAGGTATCTCTTGACTTCCTACTTTTGCTTTCCAGTCTCCTATAATGAAAAGGACATCTTTTTTGGTGTTAATTCTAGAAGGTCTTGTAGGTTTTCATAGAACCATTCAACTTCAGCTTCTTCAGCATTACTGGTCTGGGCAGAGACTTGAATTACTGTGATATTGAATGGTTTGCCTTGCAAACGAAAAGAGATCATTCTGTCGTCTTTGAGATTGTGCCCAAGTACTGCATTTTGCATTCTTTTGTTGACTATGAGGGCTACTCCATTTCTTATAAGGGATTTTTGCCCACAGTAGGAGATATAAAGGTCATCTGAATTAAATTCACCCATCCCAGTCCATTTTAGTTCACTGATTCCTTAAATGTCAATGTTCACTCTTGCCATCTCATGTTTGACCACTTCCAGTTTGCCTTGATTCGTAGACCTAACATTCCAGGTTCCTATGCAGTGTTGCTCTTTACAACATAGGACTTTACTTCCATCACCAGTCACATCCACAACTGGGTGTGTTGTTTTTTCTTTGGCTCCATCTCTTCATTCTTTCTGGAGTTATTTCTCCACTGATCTCCGGTAGCATACTGGGCACCTACCAACCTGGGGAGTTCATCTTTCAGTGTCCTGTCTTTTTGCCTTTTCATACTGTTCATGGGGTTCCCTTCTCCAGTGGACCGTGTTTTGTTGGAACTCTTCACCATGACCCATCCATCTTAGGTGGCCCTACACTGCCTGGGTCATAGTTTCCTTGATTTAGACAAGACTGTGGTCCAGATCAGTTTGGTTAGTTTTCTTTGATTGTGGTTTTCATTCTGTTGCCCTCTGATGGATAAGGACAAAAGGCTTATGGAAACTTCCTGATGGCAGAGATTGAGGGGGAAACTGGTTCTTGTTCTGATGGTTGGGACAAGCCCTGGGACAATGCTCAGTAAATCTTTAATCCAATTTTCTATTGATGGGCTGTGTTCCGTCCCTATCATTTGACCTGAGGACAAACTGTGGTGGAGGTAATGAAGATAGTGGTGACTTCCTTCAAAAGGTCCCATGCACGCACTGCTGCTTTCAGTGTCCTGACCCCGCAGCAGACGCCACCGACCCACGCCTCCACCAGAGACTCCTGGACACTCAAGGGCAAGTCTGGGTCAGTTTCTTGTTGGGTCACTGCTCCTTTCTCTTGGGTCCTGGTGCACACAAGGTTTTGTTTGTGCCCTCCAAGTTCTACGTAAGTTCTGGCGGCTCTATGGTGGGTTAATGTCGACCTCCAAGAAGGTTTATGGCATACCCAGATCTGCTGCACTCAGAGCCCCTGTCCTTGCGGCAGGCCACTGCTGACCCGTACCTCCACAGGAGACACTCAGACACTGTTCTGGCTCAATCTCTGTGGGGTCTCTGGGTCCTGGTGCACACAAGGTGTGTTTGAGCCCTCCACAAGTGTCTCTGGTTGGTATGGGATTTGATTCTAAACATGATTTTGCCCCTCCTAACCCTTATGGCAGAAAGTGAAGATGAACTAAAAAGCCTCTTGATGAAAGTGAAAGAGGAGAGTGAAAAAGTTTGCTTAAAGCTTAACATTCAGGAAACTAAGATCAGGGCATCTGGTCCCATCACTTCATGGGAAATGGATGGGGAGACAGTGGAAACAGTGTCAGACTTTATTTTTTGGGGCTCCAAAATCACTGCAGACGGTGATTGCAACCATGAAATTAAAAGATGCTTACTCCTTGGAAGGAAAGTTATGACCAACCTAGACAGCGTATTTAAAAGCAGAGACATTACTTTGCCAACAAAGGTCCATCTGGTCAAGGCTATGGTTTTTCCAGTAGTCATTTATGGATGTGAGAGTTGGACTGTGAAGAAAGCTGAGTGCCGAAAAATTGATGCTTTTGAACTGTGGTGTTAGAGAAGACTCTTGAGAGTCCCTTGGACTGCAAGGAGATCCAACCAGTCCATCCTAAAGGAGATCAGTCCTGGGTGTTCATTGGAAGGACTGATGCTGAAGCTGAAACTCCAGTACTTTAGCCACCTCATGGGAAGAGTTGACTCATTGGAAAAGACCCTGATGTTGGGAGGGATTGGGGGCAGAAGGAGAAGGGGATGGCAGAGGATGAGACGGCGGGATGGCATCACCGACTCAATGGGCTTGAGTTTGAGTAAACTCTGGGAGTTGATGATGGACAGGGAGGCCTGGCGTGCTGCAGTTCATGGGGTTGCCAAGAGTTGGACGCGACTGAGCGACTGAACTGAACTGAACCATCTTGCTAGGGCTTCTCCTTTGCCCTTGGACGTGGGGTGTCTTTTTGGTGGGAACCAGCATTCTCCTGTCAACATTTGTTCAGCAGTGAGTTGTAATTTTGGAGTTCTTGCAGACGATGAGTGCATGTCCTTCTACTCCGCCATCTTGACTTGCCTAATACATAGTTATTGGATGATGATAAGTACTGTGGAGAAAAATAAAGCACGAAAAGGGCAATAGGTAATGCCAGGAGCAGGTATGAACATGTATACATTTTTGAATGGAGGTAGGGAGGGGGACGCACAGGGAAGGCTTTACCAAAGTGAGTTTTAAGTAGTGACCTAGAAGGATATTTGGGGAAAGATCATGCAGAAGGATCAGCAAGTAAGAAGACCTTGAAGTAGGTGCATTCCTGGAACACTCCAGGGCCAGCATTGAGATCAGGTGTCTGTGGCAGAGTCACTGGGACAGTAGCCCGTGAAGTGGGCTTCCCTGGTGGCTCAGCAGTAAAGAATCTGCATACTGTGCAGCAGAGGTGGGTTTGATCCCTGGATTGGGGAGATTCCCCTGGAGGAGGGCGTGGCAACCCACTCCAGTGTTCTTGCCTGGGAAATCCCATGGACAGAGGAGAGGAGCCTGGTGGGCTACAGTCCTTAAGGTTGCAAAGAGTTGGTCACAACTGAAATGACTTTGCAGCAGCAGCAAATGAAATAAATCATAGCAGTAATGGGAATCAGGTTGTGTAGAGCCTTATTGAGGCCACTGAGTAGGAACTTTGGCTTTTGTTTTTAGTGGTATGGATACCATTGGAGGATTGTGAGCAGAGGAATGATATGACCTTTTTATTATTTAACCTTCTATTGCAGAAAATTGGAACTACATAAAAGTAGAGATGAGTATCATTTTATCCAGTATTAATTCCCCAGCTTCTGTAATTAACTCTTGGCCAATGTTGTTTCATCTGTAATGTCTCCTACCTTTTACTTTCCCTCTGGATTTTTAAGTTCCAGGCATTATTTCATTTGTAAATTTTTCAAAATTCACTTATGTTAAATAAGATCATTCTGGTTGCAGCTAGAGGGACAAGGATAGAAACAAGAGGATCAGTAAGGAGGTTATTTCAGTAATGCAGGCAAAAGATGATAGTGGCTTGGTCTAAGGAGGTAGCAGAATCTTTTGTACTAATGTGATTCTGGACATGTTTTTAAAATAGAGGTCATAGGACTTGTTAAGGAATCAGATGTAGGGTGTGAGCTAAAGAAGAAACCAGGAATGACATAGGTTTTTGATTCATGCAACTGGACAAATGAAATTGCCATCAATTAAATTTGAGGTAAGACTGGAAAGATTAAGTTTTAGAGGGAGAATGAAAAATTTGATTCTGGCAATATTTAATTTGAGATGCCAGTTAGATAACCAAATAAAGATGTTGATTAGTATTTCTTGGTGCATCAGTAGTTCATTGGAGAGATCTGTGCTGGAGCCATAAACATGGGTAATGTCAGCATAAAAATGGTTCTTGGGAAGTGACCATGGATATAGAAGGGTTTTTTAAATTCCAGCATCAAGAATTGAGAGGAAAAGCCATCAAAGGAGACTGAGAAAGGATAGTTACAGAGGTAGGAATTAACCAGGAGCTGGTGGTATCCTGGAAGGTAAGTGAAGAAATTATTTTAAGGAGGGATTAATTTCCTGTCAGATGCTGACAGTGGGCATGATGATAAGAGTTCTGAGATTGGATTTACTACATGAGGATCATTGGTGAGCTCATGAAAAGAAATTTCTTTGGAGTGGTAGGAGTGAGAGCCTTGTGCAGTTTGGTGTCGGAGAGATGAAACCACGAGGCATTGAGTTTAGACGCTTCTTTTAGGAGTTCTTTAGCAAAGGGGAGAAAACATGGAGGTGCAGCAGAAATGGAGATTAGGAATTGGGGGAGTTTTCTTTTAAAGTGGAGGAATTTACAACACTTTTTTTTTTTATGCTGATGGTAATGATCTAGGAGAGAGAGAGAAGTGAAGACTAATTGATGAATTCTCTATGTGATTTCAGATAGAGATTCACATATTCTAGATTGCCTGACACAGGTGCCTTATCACAGATTTTCACATTGTAGTAGCCTTTGCTGTCTCTTTTCTTCTTATCTTTCATCAAGTCTATAATTGCTTACCCTAATCAGCAGCTCTTCCAAGTCTGTTATGTGGACAGAAAGGTCACATAGCTATTATTATTATCATTGATCTCACCACTTGGAGCTTTCACAGAAACCAGAAAACCTAGCCAGTATTCACGCTAGCATTTAAAATTGTGTGTGATAAAATGATGTCTGATGACTTATTTTTGGTGTATTTTGTATTTGTTTTAATGATTAAGTTCCATTGAGGTTATAGTTGGTTTTGAATGTTCTAGATTTGTTCAAATTAGATATTTGGTTACAATTTGAGTCATAACTTGACAGATACCTGAAGTTCACATGTGTTTAATTGTGTCTGTGTGTAGAAACAGATTAAGATGCTTTCAAGTCTTGATTGTTTCTTGGTTTTAGAGTTTTAGAATTATGTTTATTTCTGCTTGGTGCTGGTCTACTTAACAGAAGTATTGCTTTTAGTTGGTGATATTGTGGAATATTGACACAGATGATGCCTAGCTGACTTATTTCAAAGCAAGCTTTAAGTTAAATTTTCTATATGGTCATAAATCAAGTAAATGTCTACTGTAACTAATTTTTTTACAACTAATTTCCAGTATTTTTCTTAAACAGATTATGAAGCAATTGTGAAGCTTTCAGATGGCTTTAATGGAGCAGACCTAAGAAATGTTTGCACTGAAGCAGGTAAGGATTTAAAGTGCAGTTTTTACTCTTGATTTTTATTTGTTTAATTTGCTAAAAATGTGCCTGGCTTTGTCCAAATGCAGAGCCTGGACTTTGCAAGGTTTTGAGTGTTTGTTATTTTCTGGGAAATTGATTCCAAGAAGTAGGAGAGAACAGGGCAAGTGAGATACGGAGAGGGAAAGCTGTTACAAGGGTACATCACTGAAGTAACTATTGTAGGCAGGAGGTGTTAGATTCTGATGAAGCTTCAGAGAAACATACAGAATTCTTTCCAGGATTGTCTGGCTGAGATACGGGAGACCAGAGCATTTATTTACCAGCTCTTATCCTCTGTTCCTCCATGGGACGAGATCCCCTTGGGAAAGTTAACTTCTTGGTATTTACAGATGCCTCTGGGTAGGGTACGGAAAGACATGCATGTGATAGTATGCTGTCCCTCTGGAGTAAGTCTGAGACCATACAGAACTATCTGCCACACCTGTGGTAGAAATCCAACCGGGCCAGCACTGGGGGTATCTGCTGCAAGGTGGTTGACAAGCCTCCTGATACTAGTCAGCCAGTAGTTAAATTTGAAAGATTGATTTATGAGTGTTGTGTTCGTGCAACTTGTGTAAATGTAGTAGTTTTTTAGTATAATTTTCTCTGCGAATTGTGTGATTTTTATTTCTGGTACCAAGTGGCTTTAAAACCCTATAGAGTCACTTAGATTTGTCCTCCACACAAAATTTTTAAATTAAAAAAATTAATATCTGCAGTAGATTTTAGACTTTCATAGGTTTCATGTGAACAGTTTTTAAGTATTACAATATGTAATTTCCTCTTGTTTTCATTTTACCTTTAGCCTTATTTTTAACATTTCTTGTAAATTCACCAGTGTTTATAAAGAGGCTGCTCAGACAGGCTTCTCCATAGGAGTATCTTCGTGGGTATACTGTGACTCAGTATCTGGATCAAAATCTGCAGGTCCAGAAACTCAGTAGAAGTCACAGTAAATCATGCTCACAAAGACTTATTAATAGGCAAAAATATTGAGGTAAACTCAGTAACCTGAACTAAAAGCAAAGCAAAGTGAAGTTGCTCAGTCGAGTCCGCCTCTTGGAACCCCATGGACTCTAGCCTACCAGGCTCCTCGTCCATGGAATTTTCCAGGCAAGAGTACTGGAGTGGGTTGTCATTTCCTTCTCCAGGGTATCTTCCCAACCCAGGGATCGAACCTGGCTGGGTCTCCCACATTGCTGGCAGACGCTTTACCAACTGAGCCATCAAGCAAGCCCACAACTTAACTTATGATATTCTCCTTTCAAAATCTACATTGGACCAAATATTAGAAGATTATTTTGGTGACACTGAAATCCAAACAAAAGTAGTATCATAATCTTAAAAGCTGATACCATTAAGTTATATTCTTTTTCCCACATTTTTTGTAGTTTATTTTTAGCTGTTTCCCAATAAAGAATTGTAACTTGTGTGTGGATTAAAATTTAAGCTTTTTAGGCTTCTCATCTGGAGACATACTGAATTTCTTTGGTTTTCTTTTTATTCAGCTTCAAGCTTTTTTTTGTTAACATATCTTTCTGTGAGTTAAAATGTATTTAATTCAATTCTAGTTGTCTTTTTCCATTCAAATCTTTCTTTTTGATTTCTGAGATTATTTTTCTTTTTGGATTAGGATGTATCTCAGATTCACTCATCCACTAGAAATGATTTGGAAACAGTAATATGCACAAGGTTTGGAAAATTAGCTTGCCTAATTTAATTACAGCCTTCTAAACAGGTTTTAAAACTTCACTGTTAAAAAAACTAGTCATTTCCATTCACCTAATTTCTGAGGATAGCACAGAGTAACTATTGCCAAGATTCCTTATATAGAAATCTCGAAAGGGAAGATCGGAAGCAACCCTTGAAATTTTCTATTGCAACCCAGTCATTTCATGTTAGTGAAAATTCAGTATAAGCAGATCCTCAGTGAAAATAGTAGTAGGATTCATTTATTTAATAGATAATTTTATCTTACCAGTTTTAACTTATCATGAGGTTAGGATTGTCTAAAAATCTGGGACCTACATCCATGACACAATTAATGTTTTTTAAAAACACAAACCTTTACCTCCTTGTCAAGTAGTATTTGACAAGTAACTTGTCAAAAATTTGAAAGCAAAATATGAATTGTGGTATTTGAATATGAAAGTCATATTATCAATTTGTACATGAAAAAAGGTAAATTTTCTTACATGAATAATGCCATTGGTTTTTGTTAAAACCCACTGTTGACTTTCTTTAATTCTTATTTTCTAAGCTTTAGATTATTAACAAGGAAAAGCTGTCAAAATTACTGGAGTTGTTTTGTGTTTTCCCAAACCATAGATTGGAGAAGGCAATGGCAACCCACTCCAGTACTCTTGCCTGGAAAATCCCATAGACCCAGGAGCCTGGTAGGCTACAGTCCATGGGGTCTTGAAGAGTCGGACACAACTGAGTGACTTCACTTTCACTTTTCACTTTCATGCATTGGAGAAGGAAATGGCAACCCACTCCACTATTCTTGCCTGAAAAATCCCAGGAACAGAGGAGCCTGGTGGGCTGCTGTCTGTGGGGTCGTACAGAGTTGGACACGACTGATGCAACTTAGCAGCAGCAGCTGCAAACCATGCATGCGCTCCCTCCTTCCAGGGGATTGCTGCATGTAGAGTTTAGAAAGCACTGCCTGCAGTGTGTACGTATTGCTGATAGTTGGGTTTTGTTTTTTGGCTTCCATGGTGGCTCAGACAGTAAAGCATCTGCCTGCAATGCAGGAGACCTGGGTTCGATCCCTGGGTCGGGAAGATCCCCTGGAGAAGGAAATGGCAGCCCACTCCAGTACTCTTGCCTGGAAAATCCCACGGACGGAGGACCCTGATAGGCTACAGTCCATGGGGTCGCAAAGAGTTGGACTTGACTGAGCGACTTCACTTTCACTTTTGTTTTTTCAAGATGCCATTGGATACAGGGACTGTGTGAGCTGGAGTTAAGTATCCAGATAATTGTCTCATTGTTTCCTAATTTTTGATTTGGAAAATAATGCTCACTATAGCTATGGAAATTAGTTGAACAATGATAGTGGTTTTTAACAAATTGGAACTGATTGCTGAGAAGTAGTACATCTGGGTTCCTTCACATTTATTCCATAGAATAATATTACATTATTTACTTTAAAGTTTTTTTTAATTGAGATGTAGTTTTAATTGATATATAAACTAAATTGACATTTAGTTTCATGTGTACAACATAATTAAGTATTTGTAGATATTATGAAATGACAACCACAGAAAGTCTAGTTAACATTCCATCATCACAGATAGAAAAATATTTTTCTTGTGATCTACTCTTAGCAACTTTCAAATATAAAATGCAGTGTTAATAAGTATAGTCACCATGCTGTATATTACATCCCCAGGACTGACTTTTTTAAGTGGAAGTTTGTACCAATTGACCACCTTCACCCATTTCACTTACCCTTCTTTGTTATTTTATAATAAATAATCACATATTAAATATAGCAGTCATGTTGCTTTATTTTCCACAGGTATGTTTGCAATTCGTGCTGATCATGATTTTGTAGTACAGGAAGACTTCATGAAAGCAGTCAGGAAAGTGGCTGATTCTAAGAAGCTAGAGTCTAAATTGGACTACAAACCTGTGTAATTTACTGTAAGGTTTTTGATGGCTGCATGACATCTCTTGGCTTAATTTAAAAAAAGTTAAGGAAAATTATGTATTGGCAATGATCTCATTAATAGCATATGAATAAAAATGTGTATGAATAACATTGTAAAAATTAGTAATTCAGTAATTCTGCTTTTAAGAAGTACAGAGGAAATTTGTATGTTTGTTAATGTTGCATTTATTGCAGCAGAAGTCAGAAGAGTATGTTGAAGCTTTTTGTATTTGCTGTATGAGTGTTTTGTAAAACCTTGAAAATGGTTTGAGATAGTAGTACCAGGGAGCATTTCTTATGACTTATTTTATATCACTTGTTTTCCTCATCCTAAAAGGTTTAATAAAATCTGTTTAATTCAGTTCTTCTACAGATATTGTTGTCTTTTATAAGACTACATCTACTATGGTCTATTAGGTTCTTTAGTAACTATAATAAACTAATAACCAAGATGAAGTTTTATTTAGATCATAGATTTTTGAATTTTAAAACACTACCTACACTCAGTGTTCGAGACCATTGTATTATATGTAACATAGATGTGTGTGTGTGTGTGAGAGAGAGAGAGAGTCTATATCTGTATATTCCTCCTTCCAGAAAGTCTTTATTTTTTGCCTACTATGATTAGGCTGTATGATAGTTGATTTATATAGTACATGCGCATCCATAACCTTTTTTTTAGGATTATGATTAAAAGTAATGTTTGCTATTAAATGTGACTTAGTTTTCTTGATTTTTGTAAGATGATAGTTTCCTTTTGAGAGGTTTGTTCACTCTTCTCAGAAAAATTTACACATATGTACACACAGTTTTGCATATATTAAAACTTACGAGATGTATTATTTCCCAAGCTCACCCATGGACTCTAGGTATCTATGGATACCAGGCTCAGAGTGTCTAATGTAGGGAGTGTTGATGTCAGAAGTGTTCAAAACAAAAGTTCTGTTACCTATACACAATTCTTTCTCATATTATGTGGCAATTAAAGCTTTAACAAATTACAATAGGAAATCACCATTGGGCATCAATTAAGATTGTGTTATTAAAGGTACAGTTAAAGAAACTGTCTTCAGTTTAGTAAACCTGACGAAATGAATATGACTCAGGTAATTATAAAATCATTCTTCAAATAAAAAACTTGCTAGCAGAGTAATGTGTGCCTTTTTATAACTAAAAGAGAACCATTTATAGATAGTGGTAAAGAAAATGGAGCCCTCAACTAGCCATTTAATACTCAAAATTATTAAACAGTTCTATTTCTCTATATATTTAGAGTGTTTCATAAATATGACTAAAAAGTAATAGGATGTCAGGTTTAGGTCAAATTTCAATGTGATCTTTTTTATTCTTTCCATTGTAATTTGCAGTTCAGTTATTGAATGACTTTCACTTTTTTACTTTGGTGGTGGTGGGGGGTTGTTTTTTAAAGAGTAAGTTTGGTGTACAAATATTGAACGTTTAAGTGTGGGTTCTTACACTAATCTTAATTTTCTTCATCTGTTTAAAAACAAAAAAGATACCATTATCTCCTTAGGCCCAGAGAAAGTGTTATATACCTGAACTTTATTAACAGTATAGTATTAACTGATTCAAACTCCTTTTAAAAAGATATTCAAAGCCATATAGTTTATAGTTTAATAATACGTTGAAGTGTAATAAGCTTAAAATTGAAGAGACCGTCAGTATTATGTACAAATTAGTGAGCTATGAATTGTTCTTATTTAAGATTTTTTCTTGATATTTTCCAGTTGTCATAGTCCCAGGTATTGTTAAAAGTACACCGTTTCGATTTGCTTAAAAGTGATAGTATTTTATTCTCTGTGTAGCATTACATAATTTTCAGGTGAACTCTTCATTACTCTTGGTACCTCACCACAGATTGCGCAGGATTCTCAAGAGGGGAGAAAACTATAGTTTCCTTTCGTATGCCAGTTTATGGTGACTAGGATGTCTTCCCGACTCTTACACCCAAGTAGGGATTTGCGTTGGATCCGGAAAGGGCAGAGTTGTTTCAGATTATCCCACTGCCTTTCCCAGGACCGTCCTCCGTTCTCCCTCTTGCGGCAGCCCCACCTCCTTCACACCCAGCGAGCTCCCGCCCGGGCGCCTCCAGGGCCCCGCCCCCCCGCGTCTGCGCGCTCGCGAAGGGGCGGGGCGGCGGCGCGCTGACACCTGGCGGCCGCAGTGGGGGCGGGCCGAAGGCAAGCGTAGGCTGGGATTGGCTGGGGCGGCGCGGGGACGGCGGGAGGGGGAAGGAGGGGAGACGGTTGTAGGGCTCGTGTTGGTGCTAGAGTCTGGGCGGCCTGAGGGGCGCGGAAGCACGGGGGGGAGGAAGACGGCAGCAGCATGGCGGCCGGGTACGAGCCGCCCAACCCTCTTCCCGGCTGTCGCCGCCGGAGTCGTCGGGACCCTATAGTCTGCGTGTGTTCGTTGTAAGCCCGCTGCCTCCCGGTCAGTCCTCCGGTCTACCTTTCCTTTCACCGCCACTGCCTGCCCGAGGGTCGGCCGGCGGGTAACTCCCACTCCTACCCGGCCCCACCCACAAACCCGCGGGCCAGGACCATGGAGGACGTGAAGCTGGAGTTCCCCTCGCTCCCACAATGCAAAGAAGACGCCGAGGTGAGTCTGTCAGTGACTAACACGCACAGGCCTCTGTGGCTCTTCGCCGAGGGGCGGACCCCAGGCTCCAACCGTCGGAGCCTTCACCTACTGGTAGCCCTGTTGCCTCCTGAGGGCGTCTCGGGACCCCGGGGCGGAGTCTCGCGCTTTGGGGCCGTCTACCCCTGCCACGGCTTCCTGAGTTCCTCTTCCCTTCCGGAGACTCTGGGGCCGGGTCTGGTCTACTTACTTCAGTCCTTTTTCCCCCTGATTCGGCGCGAGGACTTACTTGAAGTAAGGTTACTCTTTTATTGCCAAGGCAATGCAAGGATATGTTTTTAATCTCATTTTGAGGGATAATCTTTGGTGTCATCGATGGACTTGTGGGACACATGAGCCCACGTGTGGAATTGATGTGGGGCCTGAACTTGGAAGTGTGCCTTCAACAAGTTCCCGAAGTAGTTGGTTTGATTTGATTTTTGGTGTTTTTGAGGCAAGCCGTGATCATCAGAGTAAAATGTCACGAAACTAACTCATTTGAATCTGAAAACTTCAGTCAGAAAACTTGCCCTTTGGAGGGAAATTAATATGGGGAATAAAATTCTTTATAACTTGGTCTCCTGATTTCTAACTCGGGGTTCTTTTTATCCCACCTACATCTTCCCTCCCTAAAGTGTGTATTGAGTTTTCCCGCATCTATTCCTAGTTTAAAATACTTTATGGTATTGGAGACTACTAAATTAAAATTTTTCTGAAGATTGAATGCACTCTAGTAGTCTCAAGAAAGAAATGTTTAATTTCTACTTTTAAGAGATCATTCAGTTTATGGCAGGTATTCATTCTATTGATGTCTTTTGTGGTTCACTTTTTTTTATCTGGGGGGATTATTTGCTTGTGATGATAATCCTCGAGAATTTCATGTTTTAAGAGTAGACTCAAATAGGGAAAAAAAAAGGTAGAATATAGGTTAGGTTAAAAATGATTTTATACTTTTTTCTTTTATATGGACTAAAGTGAATGCTTTTATATCTTTGAAATGATTCAGTAATTTCAACACTAGGCAACCTTAGAAATAATGTAGAGCTTTCCCACTTTTAAGATGAAGAAATTGTAGCTTACTAAGAATAAATGGTATTCCTAGTGCACCTAGTTCTCCTCGTTCTTAATTCATTGTCTTTTTAAATTCTTCCCTGTTCTAGTTTTAATAGTTCTAGTTTAAAATGTTTACGACTTTGCATCTAATCTCTTATTGTATAAATAATATATCTTATCCTTGCAAAGATTGTAAAAATCTTAGTGAGGAATACAGCTTACTTCTTTCCTGCTTGCTGCTTTCCTGTGTTGGAGAGAAGTAATACTTAACCCTAGTACATAATGATGTTCATATCATCTACTGAAAGCCAGTTTGTTCCTTATTCTGTAGCATTGGTTGTTTGTTATCTCTCAGTTACAAGTGACAGAAACCAGAGGAGCTTAAGCAAGAAAGAAAAGAAGTAACTAAATCCAGAAAATTTGGGAGTGCAAACTGGTCTCAGAGACTTGACTAGACAGTATTAAAATGTAGCAGTACTGCCCCTGCCATTCATTAATGCTTGTCTCTATTTTCTGTCAAGATCTGTTCTTTTTCTTGGGCTTCTCCACAGGTATGAAGTTTAGCCATCAGTTGCTTGAAGATCAGACCTTTAGAGCATTCACATTAAGGGGGAAAAGCACCTTTCTGTAAGCTTTAGTGTTTAAAATCTAGTGGATTGGCTTATCTTTGGGATCAGTCAGGAGAGTCAGAAAGTCGTGAATACAGTGAAGGATCCAGTCTAGGTCACATACTTCCTGGGCTAAGGGGACTAAAGTTTATCATTGGTAGCCCTCCCACCAAGCTGATAGGAGCATTTCACAGAAGATGGAAGATGCTTTCTGGCCAGACAGAACTATAAATAATCATAAATAGGGTATCTAGTTGATTACACATGATAAAGTGACTAATATAACAATGTTAATTTTTTAATTTCCAGTGAAATATGTAAAGTGGCAAACGGTCTTACACGGTCATGGTGACCAGCCAGCATAGTTTTTTCCACATAGGAAGCACTCCCAATCACATTCCAGTCTTGCTTAAGTAAAAAATTCAAGTACAGTGATTTCAGTGAAGACTGTTAATGATTGATGTAATCAGGATATGATAACTTTATGATCCTGTCACCTCTATAAAAATATTACTTCCAAGTTTCTTGAAATACTGGATAGAGCACTCTTCCCAGGATGGTTGCTAGCAAAAATTTAGATCAGCTTGCAAAAAGATTGTCATTCCTTTAAAATTCCTGTAATTTCCCATTGTTTTGAGGATGAAGTTCAAACCCTTAATGTCATCAGCATGGTCCTGTGTGAACTGGCATCACTTGCCTCTCTCAATTGTGTTATGAGCGACTCTTCCCCTTGCTCCATTTGGGCCCTATCCATAGTCACCTTCTCTCTGTTTCTGGAATGCTTCTATGTTTTTCTCCCTACCTCAGGAGCTTTAAGCTACAATTTTCCCCTGCCATGACTGCCAGCACATTCCCCTTGGCCTCTCCTGATTAACTACTTACTCTTGGGCTCGATCCCACTTGAGGCATCATTTCTTCAGAGAAGCTTTTCATGATTTTGCCATTTCCTTGTGTCCGCTCTCCCATCTCCAGATTAGTTCAATCCCCGGGTTTCTAAGCTACTGTAGCACTTGTTGGACTTCCCCAGTGGCTTAGCTGTAAAGAACCTGCCTGCAATGCAAGATATTCAGGTTT